TGGTTAATGGTCCTGGGGATAGGAAGTGTGTTAGGGTGGTAAGGAAGCACCAAGGGAATGCGGTTGTTATGGCAGGAGTTCCTGATCGGGTTGATGGTCCGGGGGGTGTTTTTGGCTCGGGCAAGGGCCCTGTCAATCACACTGTTGGGGTATCCTCTGTTGATGAAAAATGAGTACATTTCGAGGGCTTGGTTCTCAAAGTCGATATCGTCGCTGCCAGGTGGCTAAGACTGGGTCGTGGTTAGATCTTCCAGCAGGACAATGATCCAAAGCATACCTCCAAATCTACATAGAAATGGTTCACTAATCACAGAATCAAGCTTTTGCAGTTGCTATCCCAGTCCCCTGACCTAAACTCAATTGAATATCTGTGGGGTGAGCAGAAGAAAAGAGTCCACAAGCGAGGACCAAGGATTCTGAAGCATCTGGAGAGATTATGTATGGAGAAATATTCTCAGGTCCTTTTATATGTGTTCTCCCACCTCATCCAGCATTATAAAACTCAGTGCTCTTTGAATAATTTAACCTCACTGAAAGGTTAGATTTCTCTCATATTTTGAGTGTAAGATCAAGCTGATAAACAACAAAGACATTTTTTCATAGACTTTTTTTTGCTTATCTTTACCAAGGGTGCCATTAATTCTGGAGGGCACTGTAGATTGTGTGCAGCTTGACTTCAATAAGCAATGAACCACACTCTTGCTGTCATCACTGGGATTATTTTATAGGCCTGAAAGTGGGAGCACACCCATAACTTGTAACCTTTCTGATGTCTTTGTGACGTTCTAGGTCACATTACTGTATCTCCGTTCTGCCATCTGAATATGGTCAAAACTCTTGGAGAAATCTATGACTTTCTTCATAAAGTACCTCCTATTCAGTGCAGCTCCCCTAGCGGCATCACAAAATGTATACTTTTCTAGATGTTGCTATATATTTAGTATACACATGTGACAAATCGCAGGGCAGCACAATGATGCAGTGGTCAGGTTTGATTCCTGAAGTGCCACCTGCATAGAGTTTGTATGTTCTATCTGTGTTATTTGGGTTTCCTCCAGGAGCTCAGGTTTCCTCCCACAGTACAAACACATACTGGTAGGTTAAGTGGCTTCTGTAAAAATTGTCCCTGGTGTGAGTGTATGTTTGTGTTTGTGTGCTGTGAGATGGACCGGGTGTATACTTGCACCTGTTACTTGTCAGATTAGGCTCTGGCTCCCCGCACACCCTATACTGGATACATGGATTAGATAATGGATAAATACTGTATGACAATCACTACTTACTATATTGTCAAAACAATTAGCTTAATTGCACAGCTGTAAGTTAATGAATTCATATCCTTCTGTACATTAGATGTTTAATTCAGAACCACCCTTTTACGTATCATCCAAGCACTCCTCTAAATGTATGAATCATTTGGTCACTGGGGCCCTCAAACACGATTAGTAAAGTAACCAGCTTTGCTCTAAAGAAGAGAAACTATATTTTATTGATCATCCTCCAAAGATGTATTTTTCTTTTTGAAGGACTGGTACCTTAACATGCATTAAGGTTTCACTTACAACAACAAAGAGTACTTAGCTTACTTGGATAAAGATTTGATAGAAATGCAGTGAAAACAACTTCATTCTTGATAATATAATAACATTATTGATAATATAATAATAATTATTCTGGAAAACAGGAAACACATTGGATTTGTTTGATTTCTGCTACTGATATTGGATAGAAAAGACTGCTTCTTTGTGTTGTAACTTTTGATCAGCTGTCCTATACTGTAGCTTGCAATATGGAAATACTTCACCATAAAGGAGGGATGCTTTGGTTACTTTTTTGGTTTTGTGTTTCTTTGCTTGAAAACCCTGTTTTGCTTATTTCATGTTTGTCTGGTCAATCCCAATATATATTTTTAGTATAATCATGAATAATTCAATAGTCTTTTCTGTTTAAATGCAGGATTGGACAGCATTACAGATAACTTATAATATAGAATTGTAAACAAAAAAGTGTAATATTTTATAGGGTATGCTACAAGTAATAAAATATGGAGAAAGTTAAATACAGGGTCTGTATGTACAGTACACTGACAAACACGAACACTGGTCACCTGTAGAAAATGAAGCAATCCTTTTGATTTCTTCTGTATAACCATGTTCTAACATTGGCAAATGTGACAATCACCTGGGATGAATCAAATGACACCCACCTTTGTAGCTGTGCATCTTGGTGATGTTGAAATGTGTTACTGTAAGGGTATTTCCATTAAATGCTAGGGTTACTGTACAACAATTACTTGCATTAAAGAAACCTACCGAAACCCCCAATGGATCCTAAAGAACTTTAAACACAGGAGAGGACCCACTTAATCCACCACTGAAGTGTTACACCCACCTGTTTGATATGTGGCACCCATTATTCTCCAAAATCCATACTAATGTACATAGAATATCAGGTGATGTGAGCAATCACTCACCAAATGAATTAAGGAAGGAATTTAGTTAGGCCATACTGTAAAAACCCAAGGTGGAATTTATCAATGAATCTGTATTCTTTCATAACATGACATGGGATCTTTAATGGCAAGTTAAACCAAGGTCACGTCCAGGTTAAAGCACTTTCTACTGCTCTGTGGCATTGATTTTGAATTCATGGTCAAGAGGGAAAAGTACAAGTACGTAGTCTTAGAGGAGATACGGTACAAGCTGCTCACTGTAGATGCTCATAAGAAGGCTGATTGATACAAATTGGTTTATGAGAACAAGGGTCAGAACCAAATTTTAGTTCTAACATGTCTTCCAGGTGTCTGAAAGTATCATACTGAAACAAATTAACTACTTGGTGTTGTATAATTTATAATTAAATATACAAAATGTGACACTTATGAAATTGCTGTTTGGAATGCCGGCCGTGCTCACAGGAGCTTCTTAACTGTCTTTTACTTTATTTTTTTATTTTATATAAGGCACCTACAATGACTAGAAAAAGTCATTGCCTAAATGCAGATAAATTCGACTCCACACACTACTTAGGGTAGTGTGAAAGTATAGTAGATAAAAGAACAAGGCTTCATCCTTTGCAGACTATAGAACACTTACAGATAATTTAAGTACTGTATGGATGGGCCCAATCTTAGGACTTTGGAACAAGACTGCCTCATAGTATTGGGAAGACTTATTTTTGTTTTTATATCCAGTAGGCCACAAAAAACTCTTGGATTTATTGCTATGTTTTTTTAGTGTAGAGCAAAAAGATTCCATTATATTTGTTTAGCATCTAATAAGGGAGTGATTTTTAGATATCTGATTGCTGGTTCTGTAAAAGATTGAACAGAATACTCACTGTAAATATCTTATAGCTACTAAGGAATTGCATGTGGTTACAGGTTGGGTGGCTACAGACCTCAAAGATTCAGCATTAATGATTTATTAGCTTCATATAGCCAAAGTACAAAGCTTTTACTTTCGCATAATGCCCAGGCATTTTTTAGATAAGATGACAAAGCAATTGTGTACATCCAAATTACAAATCCATTACACACAAAACATCTGTCATTTGAACTATAGTGTGGAAAACAAACTGCACAGGGTAGATCCACTTCCATAAACTGAAATAGAGATAATACAGATAAATATTTGAAATAATTTGGCTCTTCTTAGGAAACATGCATATCATTGACTTGCCTTTAAATTATTTGATGACTTTTTTTTTGTGAGGTGCTCCATCAAATTCTTATTGATGAACATTAGGTTCTGTTTGTGTTAGGATTTTAAAGATTTTCTAAGTTTAAAGTTCTGTAAGTGAGCACAGACATAACAGCCTGCGAGAACTGTTTAATCCCTCAGCCCAGGACTTAGGTCTGGTGTTTTTGGTCTGTAATGTGAAAAAGACTGGGATAATGATTGCACATATTGCAGAAGGAATGTTTAACCACCCTGGATCTCTTCCCTGCTGGCATGAGTGAGGTAGTAGTGAAAGACGTGGATGAAACACTCTCTGGGATGGCAACTGCTGTACTCTTAAAAGAGACAAGCCTTCTTTAAGTCATGTTTTAGACTGCCCTGAGAATGAGAGATGACTTCAAACTGTTTGGTGATGTAGCTTTGAACAGGTCTTGTGGACCGAGGAATCTAATAGTCGTAATTATTTTTCCTATCTACTTTACCACTGATGCTTTCACATAAATGTCTAAATACTGTATATTTATAATTAAGAATATTTCAGAATATGTAAGACTGCTGTAGCTCACAAATGCCTTTTTTTATTGCAGTGAATCTCCTTGACACATCTTCAGTCTCAGGAGACTGGGGTTGGCTGACATATCCTTCACATGGGGTAAGCTCTCCCTCTGTGTTTGTCCAATTGGGTATACATTTATTCATTGTTTTTGCCTGTGGAGAACAGTTTTTCTTTTTTCCAGAGTTCTTGGTCAGCATGCTCTCAACATCTGGTTAAGTAAAAACTTTGATAGATTAATTGATTTTAACTTGTATAAGTATGACTTCAGAACATACATACTTGGTGATAAGTTGGTTTTGTGCAGCCAGAAAACCAATTATACATATGAAGAGAATAGTATGAACTTTATTTTAAGGTTGCGATCACAATACGTGTTAAAAGGTGCATTCCAATGATTAAGCAGAAAGAAAAATAATCAGAAAAGAAACTAAAAATGTAAGCCTTTACTAAAACATTCAATTATAGAAGATACTTAAATCATGTCCAGAACTATATGATCACATTGTGTTTTTAGACTATTAAGAGAGAACTTTGTGGGATTCTGAATAAAAAACATTGTACCTCCATTTTTCCGAATCATTCCCTTCTGGTTGCCTTTTCACCCCCTTCTGAAATGAATTTTCAAAAGCATGCAAAGTGCTTTGCTCATTATGATGTGTTGGGTAGCTCCTGTGCTACCAATGGGGGGAATAATAACTACTTCGATCATTTGGCATCTTAAAATCAAATGATGAATTGATCATTGTTCTGGTAGTAATGAGAAAGGTGTATTATTGGAGAATTTTATGTCCTATCAATAATGAAGCACCATGCCTTTGACATTGACCTTTTACTATAAAAATCTTTTTTCTGGATATTGAGCAGGGAAAACAATTGCTGCTTAGTAATGCAAAATTATAAATTTTGCATGTTAACAAATTATTAAACTAAAGCACAAAGCCTAAAAGAAGTGCATTCAGTCTTGCCTTTTTTCAGGTTTGTACAAGTATTATTGTTCTGACACTGTATGAAGTATTTTAGCGGACATTCTTTCTGGAAAATTAATGTATCAGATATACAGTATGAAGGAAAAACGTGAAATGGTGCCCAATCATATTTTTTAATGCATGTACATTTATTTGGTCTATAAACAATTTTTGATAATAGATTTGTATCTTTTTACAGTATATATGATTACTAAGACAAATCTTATAAACTATGATTGTTTTGACTGTAGCAAGATCTCAGCTGAGCAAGCAGTCCTTCCTGACTATAATTTAGAAATATATGTTAAAAACAGGGGTGACACAGTGGTACAATGTTTAGCATTGCTGCCTCACAGTGCTGGTTCCCTGGAGTGCTATCTTCATGGAGTATGTATGTTCTCTCTGTGTTAGCGTAGGTTTCTGCCAGGGGTTCCAGTTTCCTCTCACAGTGCACAAATATGCCAGTAGGTTAATTGGCTTTGGAAAAATTGGTCCTGGTGTCTGTGTGAATGTGTGTGCTTGTGTCTGCCCTGTGATGGACTGGTGTCCAACTCGTGATATATCCTGCCTAGCACCCATTGCCTGCCAGGATAGGCTCTGGCTCCCCAGAGACCCTGTATTCGATAAAGCAATATGAAAATTGATTAAAGTGAAAAACAGTCTAAAATGTCTAAATGTCTGATGTCTAAAATGGGAATTACTATTTTACTAATGCTTATATCCAGTACTACTTACATTTGTAGAACTGGGTATTTTACTGAAGAAATATGCATGAAGTAAATTGCTCATAGATACAAAAGCAACACTTTAACCAAGTTTTGAGCCCACAACTTCTAGTTCTATATCTACTGCCCTGATTTAACAATTCCTGTTTTTCACCCACAATGGCAGTGCTTTAACATTTTCTAGGCTAGTCTAGTTAGTCAAGTGTCCCATGTTTCATTGTCAATCATTATGTATAAAAACCCATAGCCATTCATGTAGGGTCAGAGGTTTCCAGATAACACTTTATGTTTTTTGTGGAAATTAGTGCATGGAAAATGTAGCAGGGGAGCTGTTGCACAATGTGTATCTGCTATCTATAGAATTCACAACCAAAAACATAGATTTCTGCAGGGGTTTAAGTAATCACATGTTGTAATGGAAAAAAAAGTTATGGTTTCCTGAGTCAACAGCACATGAAATACATGAAGTGGTGAACTGTCATTAATTAGCAGTCTGAGTGCCATCTGACTTGAAGGTACAGTGTTGTTTCACGGCATGAAATAGTTTGCTGTCACACAATATTTTTTTGTATCATCCAGCAGAGAGAGTGTTGTAAAAATATCTAGAAGCCAATAAAGAATTCAAGCATGGAGAGGTCACACATCACCAATGTCAAAGTTTGGAAAGAAAATCTATTTACATCAGAAATACAAATACGAAGAGTGTTTTGTGAGGGATATGCTGGATGGTCTCAGAAGGAACTATTTCTTTTACCTGATACATCAATGTCCTGCAAACTACTCCAGTAATTGCAAAGCTGTTCTTCATCTAAATTGAAGATTGTTTTGTGGAAGATATTGTCTTAGCTTTCACTAGCCATGCAGGGCATCACAACTCTCCCACTGATCACCAGACTGGAACCCCAGAGGATGTGTTTATGAGTTGTCCCTTTATGATCCCTGTGAAGTAATCCCTATCAGTAACCCTGGTTTGTCAGCCTCTTTCCCAAACTTCTTTAGAAGAGTAGTTGCTAAAATTCCTTTCTTTAAACTATCCAGATTTCATCTGTTTGGGTCTAGTAAATTACTGAGTAAGAACTGACAGATTTGCACACCACAGGCACTGAAGCACAATGACAATAGAAGTTAACTTAAAGAGCTTATTGTAATGTCGGGAGGGAAAAAAATTATGATCCCTATGCGTGTCCCATCTGATGGTTGTGAGGATCTTATCAGGGGAAATGATGGGTTCTGGAGGATCAAAAAGACAGGAAAGAATGTTGGCCTTCAGGTTTTTAGAACAGGGACAGTATGGGACAGTATAAAACATCTGTTAAAATTTGCGAATCCAAGAAAACGCTGAATTTGTTTTAAGTTTCTGGGGGTTGGCCAGTCCCTGATGGCTTGAACTATGGAGAAGTCCTTTTCGACGCTGTGGGGAGAAATGATGTAACCAAGGAAATGTATTTTGGAGACATGAAAAAGGCATTTCTGTAATTTAGCATAGAGCTTATTGTGGATGAGACGTGAGAGTACATCTCGGACATGTTGGACAAAGTCTTGGGGATTGTTGGAGAAAATTAGGATGTCATCAAGATATACGAAGATGTATTTGAGGATGATGTCTCTAAAGATATTGTTCATGAAGGCCTGCAATACCGCGAGACATAACCAGGTACTCATATAGCCATGAGTGGTCATAAATGCCATTTTCCATTCATCACCTTTCCTGATACGGATTAGATAATGCTGTATGCTCCTCGGAGGTCAAGTTTAGTGAATATTGTAGCCCCGTGCAGAGATTCAGGTGCTACTGGAATCAAGGGCAGAAGGTAACGGTTCTTAATCGTGATCTCATTTAAGCCTCACTAGTTGATGCAGGGTCTCAGTGAGCCATCCTTCTTTCCAACGAAAAATAATCCAGCACAAGCAGGTGATGTAGAGGGGTGGATGAAACCAGACTTTAGAGACTCTTGAATGTAAGCCTCTAGTGCCTGTGACCCTGTTCTCAAAACCCGGCCTCTGGGGAGCATAGTTCCCGGGAGGAGGAGGTCAATACACCATATGGGTGGTGTAGGGGAAGGGAAAGGGCCTCTTGTTTGTTGAAAGCCTGCTCCAGGTTTGCGTGGAGGGATGCAGGGCTCATGGTCTTGTGATGTGGTAGCCGCCAATACTCTAATAGGCAGACGACAGCACCTGAAGTGGCAGTGAGGACCCCATGCTAGGATGTTGTTCTGGGACCAGGAGAAATAGGGATCGTGCTCTTGCAACCAGGGATGCCCTAAAACAAAGGGATGTGATGGAGAATCTATAAGGAGAAGCTGGATTTCCCCTTGATGAGTGGCACTGATTTGACAGATGAGAGGAGTGGTTTGCCAGCGGATACGACCAGAAACCAGGGATGTCCTCTCCAAGGCTTGAATGTGGATCAGGGGGTTTACAGGCACGAGAGGAATGTTCCATGTTTCGGTGAGTTTGTACTCTAAGAAATTTCCTGCCGCACCTGAATCAAAGAAGGCAAGAAAAGAAAGATTAAATTTACCCCAAGAAAGTGTAGCTGGAAGAGAGGGTCTGGAGTCATGGGTGGAAGAGGGTGGTATACCAAACTTTGATGTGTTCCTGGAAGTAGTTTGGGGTGGTCTAGGGGGTCTAGTCAGGCACGCTATGTGGAAATGACCGAGTTCTCTGCAATATAAACAGTGTCTCTCGTGGCGGCGTCTTTCTCTTTCATCTGGGGTAAGTCAGGTATGGGAGATCTTTACTGTTTTCTTAGGAGATGGAGATGGAGTGGGAAGTGGCTGGGGGGGGGCTTGGGGACATTCTTTTTTTGCTTTCCCATGTGCGCTGTTCCAGTTCCAGCACCTGGGAAATAGCCCCCTCTATAGATTGATAGGAAAGTGGCACTGACACCAATTGGTCCTTCAGCTCCTCCGAGAGCCCTTGGTAGAATTGAAACACCAGGGCTTCATCCCTCCAGCAATGAATCAGTCTGAAACTCAATGGCATCATCCTGGACATGTCTGTCACCCTGTCGGAGAGTAGATAACTGTGATAAAAAAATAGTGTTCAGAGTTAGCCAGAGCAAACACCGCCTTGAACTTTCGGAGGATTAAATTAAAATCTGCTATTTCAGGTCCCCCTTTAGCTAGCAGGGTAGCTGCCCAGTCCAGAGCCCTTCCAGCAAGTAGAGAGATGACAAAAGTAATTCGCTCATGAGAGGTGGGAAAACATTTCTGGCTAACCAGCACTGTCCTAGAAAATCCTAAAAAGACATTTAGTAGGATCTCCATCAAATTTATCCATTGTGGGGAGGGGCGGTGAGCTGCGGAGAGCAGTGTAAGTGAAGCTGCAGCAGAGGGCAGGGGAATGCTTTGGGGAGTTGAGGATGCTGCAGGAAGTGTAGCCATATGATCTGTGAGCTGTTGAA